AGCCTTTTATGCCATAATTCTGTCTAATTTGATGTGCTTCTAAAAATAGCTAACTCCTCTTCCATCAAGTCTAGTGAAAAGCTTTTTCCTTTCATCTTTATGAATATTCCTAATCCAACAGGATCAGAAATTGAGCAATGTTTATCTTTGAACACAATTAAGTATCTTTTTTCAAGAAGCTGACCAACACTTAACAAATTCTGATCAATTTCAGGGACAAAAAAACATCTAAAATGAGTCTAAAATGAGTTTTATACACGAATTTCCTTTAATAACAACTATTCCTTTACTTTAATATGAATATATTCATCGTTTCCAATTATGACTTTAGAGACATTTGATTTTTCAAGATGCTTGAATAGATTTTCATCATTTATCATGTGATTTGTGCAACCACTATTTATAAGCTAGAAATCACTTGCATGTTTGCCAGCAAAGCAAGTGGCCACAAATAGCTGCTCCTCTTATTGTTGATCATCAACTTGAACTTTACCTTTTTGTTGGTTAGTTTTGCTTTTGCAAATCTTCTTAATATGTCCTAATTGATTACACTTTCTGCATTTCATATTAGGTCTCCACCAGCAATCTTGCTGTAAGTGAAAATTTTCTTCTAGTGTTGATATAAGGAGGAAAGTTTCCAATTCTTTTACTGCTGCTATCGGCTTCTTTATATTTGTTGTATTTTTTTTTTGCCTTTGTCACCTTCTTAGATATTTTCTTTATATTTGTTGTATTTTTATTTTATTTTTTTGCCTTTGTCACCTTCTTAGATATGCATTTTAGCTTGAAAAGCTCTTTCTATTGACTCCTCTTACCTTATTATTCTTCTTTGTTCTTATACATGTAAAGCATTGAGCAATTTTGCCAAAGAAATTTTTGACAGATCTTTAGATTCTTCTAATGAAGAAATTTTTGATTCAAACATTTTAAGTAAATTTATAAGAATTTTTTCAATAACTCTTTTATCAGGAAGGTCTTCTCCAAATAGTCTTACTTTGTTGATTATGGAAAGCAGTTTGAAAGATAAATCTCTGATTGTTTCTATTTTTTTCATTTTCTACATCTCAAACTCCTTTCTCAAATTTAAGATTTTCATATGGATTGTTCTCTCATTTTTATGAATTCCTCTTCAAGATAATTTCAAATTTGCTTGGCTGTATCAAGTGCAATTATTCCGAGAAATATTGCTTTTGAAATTATAGAGTAGAGACATGTTTTAGCTTTGAACTTCCTGGCTATTCCTCACAATGATTTCTAATTTGAACTAGAATAGGATTTGCAGTAAGTGGTTGTGGATCATGTTCTTGTTCTACAGCATTCCAAAAATCACAGGCTTTATGTTTTCATTCTTACAACTCATATCTGGTAGTTTCCACTAGTAAATATTGGTGGTGATGCAAGAGAATACATATTTGATGCCATTGAAAAATGATAGAAAACTTATGTTATTGAATTTTTGGTGAAAAAAGATTTCTTACAGGTTATTCTTTTAACTCAAACTGGTCTTGTAAGATCAATGTAGCTTTGATACCAATTTGATGTTGTTGATAATATAGAGAAACTGAAGAACAAAGAAATAAACCAGTAATATAGAATTATTATTATTATTATGGCTGCAATCATAATTCTTTATTAATGAAATCACTCTTTTATACAAGAGTTTTGATAACAAAGTTCAAAAAAATAATGATAAGATTTTAATAGAAAAAATGTTCTATAATAACTTTATTTACAATTAACATCCTAACAAATTAGAGCTAATCTTGAATCAATCTTCTCAACATTAAAGACCACTTCTTCAGTAGTAAATGAGGCAACCATCAACAAACATTTACTTTATTTTTTTTCATAATTAAGAAAATGATTCATATCATTTTTACACTTAATCAACTTTCAAAGTTCTAATATTTGAATAATTTGATGGTGCTAATCATGAAATACTATCCAAGATGTTGCATGTGCACGGCGTCGCGACGATTGTCCAACCTAAAATTTTTTTATGTAATAGACTGATGTATAGACTATTCTGGAAAAATATAAAGAGACAATAAATTCTTATCTCTTATCAGTAAATTATGGACTAAGAGTCCTCATTTAATATTCTGGTTACTAGGAACCCTAATTGGTATAATAGATAGGGTATGGAGACTAGTTGCGTAAAGGAAATGTATTAGCACCCCAACTATGCCCTACCTAAAGTAGGCTATAATGTTTTGTCTGATAAAATCTAAAGTCTGGTTGTGATGTTTAAAATTTGTTAATTTGTTTATGGTATAAGAAAAGTCATTTGCAAAGAGATTCTTATCTTATCGATAAAAACCTAACTGTTCTATGTCATTAATAAAAAAAATACCTTTTTAACATTGAAAATATATTTTACGTATAAATTTTTAATTTTTGATACTAAAATAAAACAAAATAAATTTTTATTGTTTTGAAATTTTGGCCAATATTCTTTTGACTTTAATAAACTGGTTATTAAAGCCAAAATGCATGTAGTTAAGACATTATTTTTTGGTGTATGAATAACACAATATGATTTTTTTAGCTTTGAGACACTTTGCCATGTGTACAAAAATATTTATTTCTTTTTTCATTTTTTTTTTAAGACATTGTTTTTTGGTGTATGAACAACACAATATGATTTTTTTAGCTTTGAGACACTTTGCCATGTGTACAAAAATATTTATTTCTTTTTTCATTTTTTTTTATTTTTAGAAGTTTTGATGAAAATCAGGTATTTTAACACTGAATTTGTATTTTTATAATGTAAAATATTGCTTGATATTAATCAAAATGACATAAAAACTGATGTAAAATATTGCTTAATATTAATCAAAATGACATAAAAACTATGTGAAAAATTATAGAATTCTAAAAAAAAAATTGATTTTTTTTTTTGCAAAAATGAGTTAAGCTAGACCTGACCTAACCTTTCTAGGCTGGGCCGGATCTGACCAATCTACTGTGGGTTGGGCTGATGTCCTAGCCTAGATCTAAATTGACTGGTTACTGTGTATCAATATAGTAACTATCCCACACCGTCTTTTTGCATCAGAACGTGAAATCATGTTTTGCATACAAAAATGCAGGCGACTCTGGCAAGGAATTAAACGGTGGGGTGGAGGCTTACTTAGAGCGGTGGAGCTGCTGGTGGTTCGCGGTGGCCAGCGGTGCTGCTAGGGAGCTGGGGGTGGTAGGGGCAGCATTTTCTTCTTCCTCTTTTCCCCTGTTTTGTTTCTCTTCTTCTTTATTCTTTTGTCTTCTCCTTTTCTTCTCTTTTCTATTCTCTTTTTTTTTTTTGTTATGTATCTCTCGTTCTGTTCTTTTTTTTCCTCCTTCTGTCTCTCTTAACCCTTTTTTTTCCATCCTTTATGCCTCATCTCTGCCTCTGTATTTATAGGCAGAGAAGGGCAGTGAAAATGCCCTGCCTTTATTCGGTCAGGGGACAAGGCAGGGTGGATGGTGGTGCCACCTGGGGTTGGTACGCCATTGGTTGAGTTGGCATCCTTTTGAGATTTAAAAGAGAGTGGAAGTCGGTGACAAAACAGAGTAGAGAAAAAAAATCTTCTTCTCCTATTCTCTACACGTCTAGAGGAAAAAAATAACAGATGATGCTGTTCAAAACTGCACCGTTTCAAGATTATTATTTGTTTGCATGAAACAACACCGTTTTGGACAAAACGTATCGTTTCATTTAAAAGAAAAAAAATGGCAAAAACATGTCAGAGTTCACATTAGTCTTCACTTTGTGATTGGTTCAATTGAGTCCTTAATTTCAATTTTGATTTTAAAAATCAATTCAATTACATCCCTGCTAAAAATCAAAAAGTGGCCTTGAAGTTGGTCGCCTTTTTCACTTTAGTCCTTGTTCTTGAAGTTATGTAATTTGACTCTCAATTGATACATAAACTTCTAATTTCTTCAATTAGGCCCTTGATCTGGTTTAAATTACAACCCCTTTATTTACACTTCTTTTCCAATTTGGTCATTGATTTTAGATTTCTTCAATTAAGTCCCTAATTGGCTATCAAACTTCAATATTTATGCAATTAAGCCCCTGATTTAACCAAATGAACTCTTAAAAATTATATTTGACCTCAAAACTATAATTTTCTTCAATTAAAGCTCAAATTAACTCCAAAATTAATTTTTCTTGCAATCAAAATCTTTATAAATTCAATTAAACTTTCAAATAAAATTTAATTGAGTCCATAAGAATCTGATTTTGAATTTTTCTTCCTCAAATTGAATTTTCTTTGTCAACAGGGCTTTCATCAATTAATAAAATAATGTCAAATTTTAATTTTTATATTTTTGGATATTCTCAACTAATTTTTAATCATTTTATGAGTATTCTATCCTTTTTTACTGTTTTTATTTTTTTGATTTTTTTCAAACGCATATACATTTTTTTAAGTTTTTTATGCAAGGACCGTTATAACATAAAACTTGCTCTTGTGAGTTTGCAAGAGATTGCCTTGCTAGAATTTTTAGGATTGTTTAATTTAATTATAACCAGCAAAACACAAGATTGCTTTACCAGTTTTTTTAATTATCGAACATAGAAGTGGATTTGTCAAAAGAGTCACGAAGGATGTCATTTGTGTACGTTGTGTTCTATAAAAATAATAATTAAAAAAAAACCCTAAAGGAAGCCATGCCACTTCTGGCAAGTGTCAACCGTGATAATGCCCTTTGTGATGCCTCGAGATACTAGTTTCTAGCTCAATCTCATGTAGCAAGCCTCCAAATTAAATTCGGCATAAGCCCATTTCTTCCTGTAGTCTTGAGATTTAACTAGTCTTCAATAAAAGGTCATAAAATCATTCCATGTGGCTCCATGCCAAGCCAGACAGAATACCATACAAAAACCAAAAGCATTCTTCAACCAGAACCTTGTTAGCCGCATATTTCCTTGGTCTCCGTACTTTTGGAAGTTTAATGCCAAAAAACCCTTACGTGTCCGCTTCTTATTCACAAGCGCAAGAAACTGCATGGTGATCCCCTGCTCAAGATCACATGGTTTTAAGGGCCTTAATTTCTCCGTTTAAATGCAAGGCATCAATCCGTCCATCACCCACCTCTTAGCTAAAGTTGCTCGATATTGCACAGAAAACAGAAGTCAAGAAACATGCTGCCCATGTTGCCGAGACTTTTCTTTCCACCTCCTTTCTTTATCAAAGCAATGTCAGTGATTTGTGTTCTGTCATTAGGAAATGTTGGGCTCTCAGAGATTAGAGGAAAGCACATGCAATACTCCAAATTCTTGAATATTGGTGAAAAGAAGCCCATCGAAAAAAAGATTCGAGTCTCCAGTAGAACTGGCATGCTCATTGCTTACACGCCAGCATTTCTTGCCGGTGCTGCTTCGTTCGGGCTCTTCCCAAATGAGGATCTCAGGTTTTTGTTGGTCAAATCCACTCTAACCTTCCATTTCTTCAAAAGAATACTTGAGGTAATTGATCTGCCCCAACCCTCTCTCTCTGTCTCTAGCAATTTGGCAGTCTAGTAAAGAAGAAGCCATGAGGTAACCAGAAATTTTTTTTCTTCACCAGGTGCTATTCGTTCACAGATACAGTGGAGGGATGGAAGTTGAGTCTCTGATCCCTATCACTCTTAGTTATTTCACATCCTCTGTGTTTATCATCAATGCTCAACACCTAGCACAAGGACTCCCAGAGCCAGAAATTGATTTGAAGTATCCAGGGATTGCATTGTTTGTAGCAGGAACCAGTGGTAACTTCTACCACCATCGTCTCCTTTCAAAACTGAGAAGCAAGGATGTCAAAGAATACAAGGTCCCCAAGGGAGGCTTATTTGACCTAGTGATTTGCCCTCACTATCTGTTCGAGATTCTTGGGTTCTTGGGGATCTCTCTCATAGCTCAAACATTGTATGCCCTTTCCTTCTTTGTTGGAACAACTCTTTACCTGGTGGGGAGGAGTTATGTCACTAGAAGATGGTACCTTTCACAGTTCAAAGACTTTTCCAAGGATGTAAAGGCTCTCATTCCTTCTGCATTTTAAACCTGTACAGAGACGAAAAACAAATTTGATGACTTTCCCAAGGATATCAACACAATCATTCCTTGCTTCTTTTTTTTTTTTAATGTTTCAAACATAGAATTGGAGTCATCAACATGTTTCACTCTGGAATTATGGCTCAGTGCTCCGTATCAAAAGGGTCACAAACCATGACTGTAAAACTCCATCCGGGGTATTATTTATTTATTTTTATTAAAATAAAATTATCGATGTTGATTCTCAAGTTTAGCCAAATCAATTGAGTTATAAATTAATCCGTCAGATTAATCATTTTTTTTTAAAAAACTAATATATTTTTTCGTTTAAATTAAAACCTATCATATTCTAAATTGTGGATTTTCCCTTTGCATGTGGAATGGCAGAAAACATATTTTTTCTTTTTATAGTTTAAGATTTAATTAATTAATATTATAATTTTTCATTATCATTGTCTTGAAGAAATGGGAAAAGTTAGCTTTTGCCTAATTAAAATCTTTTTTTTTTCAATTGAGATTTTTGTTTTCCCAATGAAGTTTTAGCCAACGAAGACCCTTTTTATTACCCTATACAGATTATCTTCTAATTCTGTTTGTAACTTTATTATTATTATTATTAACAATTGATTTACTTGTTAATTATATAGATTTGTTTCCATATGTTCCTCACTATATTTCTACTTATAACTTATAAAGATTGCTTATATTCATTCCAATTTATTAATAAATTTATTATTTTTCTTCACAACAATGATTATATATGCTTTCATGAACAATGTTCTAATATCATAGACTAGATACATTCCTTCTACATTTTTTTTTTTGGTAGAAATACATGCCCTGTTAAGATTTTGTTGTAAATATTTCTATGCAGAAGTAATTTACTTTTGTAGCTTTGAATTATATATTTACTGCCTTATCTTTCGGCATCACACTTGTATATATTGCCTTCTAATAAATAATATGAGCCTTCCCTAGTCTAGGTCGTCGAATGTTCAGTGCCAAAGAGTCCATGCTAAAGTGTTCGGTTCTTCTTCAACAGCATAGCAAACTAGGGCATTGCTCTGTTCAAATTAAGCAAGCCCGTCCACCTTCCTCGAAATTGCAAAGAAAACTGAAGTGAATACAAATGGAGTCCACGTTGCTGAAACTCTTATTTCCATCTCCTTTCCTTATCAAAGCAATGTCTGCGGTTCCTGTTGCGACATTAGGATATGTTGGGCTATCAGAGGTAAGAGGAAAGCACATATAGTACTCCAAATTTTTGAATATTGGTGAAAAGAAGCCCGTCGAGAAGACGATTCAAGTCTCTAGTAGAACTGGCATGCTTATTGCTTACACACCAGCATTTCTTGCCGGCGCTGCTTCGTTCGGGCTCTTCCCAAATGATGATCTCAGGTTTTTGTTGGTCAAATCCACTCTAACCTTCCATTTCTTCAAAAGAATACTTGAGGTAATTGATCTCCCTCCTCTCTCTCTCTGTCACTAGCAATTTGGCAGCCTATTGAAGAAGATAAACCATGAAGTAACCAAGAAAATGTTTTTGTTCACCAGGTGCTTTTTGTTCACAGATACAGTGGAGGGATGGAAGTTGAGTCCGTGGGTCCTATCACTCTTAGTTATTTCACATCCTCTGTGTTTGTCATCTATGCTCAACTCCTAGCACAAGGACTCCCGGAGCCAGCTATTGATTTGATGTATCCAGGGCTTTTGTTGTTTCTAATAGGAATTAGCGGTAACTTCTACCACCACTGTCTGCTTTCCAAGCTCAGAAGCAAGGATGAAAAAGAATACAAGGTCCCCAAGGGAGGCTTATTTGACCTCGTGATTTGCCCTCACTATCTGTTCGAGATCCTTGGGATCTTGGGGATCTCTCTCACAGCTCAAACATTGTATGCCTTTTCTTTCTTTGTTGGAACAACTCTTTACCTGTCAGGGAGGAGTTATTCCACTAGAAGATGGTACCTATCACAGTTCAAAGATTTTCCCAAGGATATAAAAGCTCTCATTCCTTTACTATTTTGAACATGTAAAGGTTTAGAAGGAGAAGGAAGAAATTAGAATGAAAAATAAGAAATCAAAATATATTTTAATTTCTATACTGCATTTGGAATGATATTAAAAAATCAAAATATATTCCAAAGTTTATATTTTTTTTCTTAAGATGAAAAAAATTATGATTATAAAGAATATTCTACAACCGTGATAGAGTGATTTTAGCAATAGAATACTAGTAAATTAACAATAAAAGAAATGAACTATATAATTGTATTTAATTTATTCTTAAAAAAATGTTGTGTTTTCAATCCATTCTTCAGTCAGATTTTCACTATTAAAATTATATACGACCAAGTTGGATTTTAAATTTCCAAAACACGTTCTAATTATTTTTCCAAGGAAATGACAAATTTTTTTTTTTTTACAAAACTTGTAAGAATAATAAATCTCAGCTTATTCCTAATTGGATTCCCAGTTCGCCCTCTCTTACTCTATCTAGAGGTTTCATATGCACTCTCATCGAGCAATTGCTTCTCATTCTCATCAATCCATTACATCTAACCAAACAGTACCTAAGAACAGAAACCGAGCTACAACATACGTTAATACAAGTGAGCAGTTATCCTGCAATCTTTTCCATGAACGTAGACCGGCACTGGATGTTGCCAGGAAAACTTACCGTGGTCCAAGGGGCAGATTTTCTGTCTTTTATACCATCCAGTCCCCCGTCAGCAAACATTGATACAGAAACGGAGACTATGACAAAAGAAAGGCATTACGTTAATGGCGTAACTATTAGATTGCGATTGCTTGCCGAGCATTCCGACACTAACAGTGGTAACTGCATGACAATCTCATGCTTGCTGTGCCTTGCACAGCAATGGGGTGCAACCACTTGGCAACCTCAGAGTTTACCAGAACCCCAGTCCTTTAATTGGGGTAAAAACCTCCTGATTTAGCTCCCAGAAAATGCAAGTTCTGAATCAAGACCAAATGGACGAAATAACCACACATAAATTGGCAGTGGGATTATATCAAAACCATGAACGATTTTTCCCAAAAAAAGCATACAAGAATGCAAGGTATTACCCTTGTGAATTGACAATACCTGCACAGGTAAAACTAAAGTGTACAAATGGAAAAGGACTTTCAATCATAGCGTAAATGCAATTCCAGATTACTGGAGTAAACAAAGAAAGCCAAAACCATTTTTATAGGCATTTCAGTTGGAACGTGTGGCAACAAGGTCCATAGTAAAATCACAGAAAGCGGGGGGAAAAGCACCAGCTACAAATTTGCTACAAGAAAACCATACATGGAAGACGGGAGTCCCATATCCCAAAATCAGGACTTTTATGCTGAGATAACAGGTATTGAATTGAAAAAAGCAAGGCATTATAAGTTGCAGAAAACTTAATTTTAACAAGACTTGCAGGTTTGAACTGAACTTAAGACATGCAAAGCATTCTTACATATGACTCATAAATCCCGAATCCCAGTCTTGATAATCAAACTGTAAGCAAAAACAATGAGCACTCACTAGCTAGTACAGAACAAAACAGTCCTGATTGATTACCAGCAAAACTAGGATGACAATCTTGTACCAAAACAGCATGATGCCCATCAACGGAGTCTCCTAGCTTCTCTCTCAGACTCAAGCAAGGTAAGAATGTCACCTTCTCTAACAGGTCCCTTGACGTTCCTCATTATGAAACGGTTCTGGTCATCAATAAACTTGACTCTAACCTGAGTAACCTGTCCTCGAGATCCAGTCCTTCCCATAATTTTCACCACCACAGCATGCTTAATTTGACTATCCATTCTACACAAAAACAAACACAAGACAAACTCAGTCTCATCCAGTCAAAGCTTACATGTGGCTTAAATAGCAATCACCAAATCTCCAATTCAAATTGCTAAAAAACAAAGAAAACCAACTTGAGAAAACTCATCAGAGAAAAAAATAGGATCAGTTAATAAAGTTATCAACTTACAGTAACAACTGATACCAAACCCTAAGAAGCAAGAACTAACATACAATACATAATGAAAGAAGCCAATCAAATCATAAAAGAAGCTAAATTTGCAAAACATAGGATTATCAATTCCAAATAACTAAAATAAACAGAACCCACTTGAGAAAAAATACATAAAGAAAACCCACTTGACCAAAAAACCAGAATCACATAATAAAATTCTAAACTTGAAGCACAAAACAGAGGAACAAGAACAACAAAGACCAAACTTTACACGCAAATACTAACATTCTCTACTTTAACAAACAAGTCAATGGAACCCGAAAATGGGATTAATCAGAAACACAAAGTCCCTAACCCATTAGCCAAAGAAACTAAGAATCAGATCAAACTCTAAACATAAAAACGAAGAACCAAAACTGCAAAGACCAAACTTTTCAAGCTAAGCTAAACATGTACAGTATTAAAACAATAATCAAATATATAAAAGAAGCTAAGGTTTACGATACCTGAAGTAGCTAGGGATGGAGAGAGAGACGCGGCTGCTGCTGGGTTCTCACAATCAAAGCAATGAGAGAAACAAAAACCCTAGAGAGGCAAAGATGTCATACGGGCGTTCTTATATATACAGATGAGGGCATAATTGTCATTTAATTATCTTCAGCACAAAGACCATACTGAGCCCCCGATTCTCAATTAGATCTCCAAACAAAAATAATTCTCAACTGGGTCTTCCATCTATAAGACATTACTTAATCAACCCTCTTAGTATTTTTTTTTCCCTTTAAAATCATAAAAAACATTTAAAGAGAAAATTTTAAGTATTTATAAAGTGATTCTCATATAATTTTAAATTTCTATTTGGCTGATGTTTTAGGTTAGAAAAATAGTAACCTGTGTAGCATGAAAATAGAGATTTTTAATAACTATTTATTTGAGAAAATTTTATAATAAATTTATATTCTTTTGAAACAGAAGATATGGAAGAAAATGTTTTCTCGACTCTACTGTTCTAGTTTCTTCTATTTTTAAAGATCAATCAAACGCTATTTAAAAGAACTTAAAATTAAACTTTTTTTTTTAATTGTAACCATAGTTGTTAAACAGTTA